CTAATGTACAATGAATGCGACTTACTATTGAGTTGCTCCGAAATGAAAAAAATCAATTGCGTGATGTGATAATACATGAAACATTGAAAGTGATGGAAAATGCATCTGATTTAATGGCGAAGGGGAACAAGATTGGTATTGTTGAGGTTATAGACAAGGATGTGGTGGATGTCATCGTTAGAAGAAAGAGGGTTTATATTTGGAAACAAAAAAAATCAGCAATGACTATACCAGAAATACGTACAGGCCGCGGTCAGCCTAGACCTCGGCGCCGCTAACAAGGTTGGGTAATGGGACTCTAATGACTTACCAGTATATATTTTTGTGACCTTAGATCTAATGCTGTGATGGTATTGGTTTTGGTGCATGCCCTATATTTTTGGAAGGAGAGTCGCCATGGTATAACATGACAACTTTTTTGTTTTTTGTAAAGTGGTTTTCAAAGGATTCTGACCATGGTTAGGTAGGACACCTTTTTTTGTACATCTAGGTCGAATGTCCTATTTGGTGTCCTTTTTTCGGTTTCCATATTATAGATTATGACTAGCACAGGGTGTGAAAATGCAATTTGATGAAGTTAATATGTTAACTATGTTGGGTAACCATATGTACGAACAATTGATGAAGTTAATATGTTAACTTTATTTTGTGCTACTAGCCTTGGTTCTGTTTCAGCAAGTTATGACGGTCATTCCAATGTTTTGGTGTTCATCGGATTTACCATATTGGGTGACAGTAATTGCCAAATCGGGGAACTGTAATTTATTGTTTCTGGATTCCAATTGCATTACAATGTCCAATTACTGTCTCTTGTTTGGCAATTGACAAACAGTACCTATGTATTTGTAATTCAAATGTGCGAAATCCTACTGCCCGTTTGGTAATTGGTAAACTACAGTGTGCAATTCCTGCCTCCTGTTCGATCTTTCTCCCTTTCCATGATTGAAGTGCCTAAAAGTAAAAACAATGACTTTTAGTGCAAATCACACAAAAACGTAAAGAAAATACTTTTTTACTTTATATTTAAATATTAACAAAAAAAAATGACCACATCGCATTATGTAAAACCCAAGTATTGTAATTCACAAATGTAAGGATATCGTTTACTAATTTGTGGAATGCCTATGTCCATAATAGTGTACTGTTCGTGCTTATTGTTGCAACTATTTGTTCTTACAAGGACAAGGACCCAATTTACTCCTCCAAGGTTCATTCTTACCTTCACATTGCGTTGGGGGTCATTTCCCTTGTAACCTTGTAACCATGCGTTGGGGGTATTACGAGATTAAGTATGACTTTTACAATGTAATGGAATGAGTATGTCCATTTTAGTAAAATACAAATCCTTAATGTTGTAACCACCACCTTGTTTACAAGGATAATGACTGAATTTACTCTGCTAAGGTTCATTCTTACCTTAACATTGTATTGGAGGTCATTTCCTTTGTAAATTACGCTATTACAGTAAGGATCCCTTTTATACATTTATGGAACCCATGTGTCCATATCAATATAAACAAAGTCCTATATGTTGTAAACCCCCCATGTTTATAAGCGCAAGGACCAAATTTATTCCACCAAGGTCCATGCTTACCCTATTATTATACAAGAGTTCCTTGTTGTTGTAAATGATGGTATTACGAGATTAAGGATTGCTTTTACAATGTAATAGAACGAGTATGTCCATTTTAGTATAATACGAATCCTTAATGTTGTAACCACCACCTTGTTTACAAGGATAATGACTAAATTTACTCCTCCAAGGTTCATTTTTCTTTGTATTGGGGGTCATTTTTCTTTGTATTAGATGTCCTTATCTTTGTAAATTACGATATTACAAGATTAAGGATGCATTTTACAATCTTATGGAACATAACTGTCCAAAACTGAGTAAAATGAGACCTTAATATAGTAAACGTTTGTGTTTACACGTATAAGGACTCAATTTACTTTCCTAATGTCCCTAGTTACCTTAATATTGTACTAGACGTCCTTCTCTTTGTAAATTATGATATTACAAGATTAAGGATGGGTTTTACAATCTTCTGGAACATAACTATCCAAAATAGAGTAATACGAGACCTTAATATTGTAAACATCCGTGTTTACAAGTATAAGGACCCAATTTACCTTCCGAATGTTCCCATTTACCCTAATATTGTACTGCATGTCTTTATCTTTGTAAATTACGATATTACAAGATTGACTATGAATTTTACTATCTTATGGAACATAAATGTCCAAAACAGAGTAATACGAGACCTTAATATTGTAAACATCCGAGTTTACAAGTATAAGGACCCAATTTACCTTCCGAATGTTCCCCTTTACCCTAGTATTGTACTACATGTTTATCTTTGTAAATTACGATATTACAAGATTAAGGATGCATTTTACAATCTTATGGAACATAACTATCCAAAACCGAGTAAAACGAGACCTTAATATAGGAAACGTTTGTGTTTACACGTATAAGGACCCAATTTACTTTCATAATGTCCTTAGTTACCTTAATATTGTACTATATGTCCTTCTCTTTGTAAATTACGATATTACAAGATTAAGGATAGGTTTTACAATCTTCTGGAACATAACTATCCAAAACCGAGTAATACGAGACCTTAATATTGTAAACATCCGTGTTTACAAGTATAAGGATCCAATTTACCTTCTGAATTTTTCACTTTACCTTAATATTATACTACATATCTTTATAATTATAAATTACGATATTACAAGATTAAGGGTGAATTTTACAATCTTATGGAACATGATTGTCCTAAATAGAGTAATACGAGACCTTAATAATGTAAACATTTGTGTTTACACGTATGAGGACCCAATTTACTTCCCTAATGTCCCTAGTTACCTTAATATTATACTAGATATCTTTATCCTTGTAAATTACGATATTACAAGATTACGGATGAGTTTTACAATTCTATGGAACACAGCTGTCCAAAACAGAGTAATATGAGACCTTAATATTGTAAACATTTGTGTTTACAAGTATATGGACCTAATTTAACTTCCGAATGTTCCACTTTACCTTAATATTGTACTACATGTCCTTTTTTTGTAAATTACGATATTACACGATTAAGAATTGATTTTATAATATAATGGAACACAAATGTCCAACAGTGTAATACGAGTCCTTCCTATTGTAAACCCTTTTGTTTTCAAGGATAAGGACCTAATTTACTTCTCTACTGTCCCACCTTCGCTTTATACGTTTATTTTGTTATTTAATTATAAATTAAATAGATGTTTACAAACTATTAACACAGGACAAAAATCGCATGTTTTTCACCCAAAAAAAAAAACTTTGGGGTTACAAAACTATTTCGAATGGGAAGTGAAATCCTGTGGAAAACGAAGCCAAACATTAAGAAAATAGGCATGCATGCACGTTTGCAATTTCAAACAGACGGTTTGTCAATTGCATTATACTTGTTCAATTTCTAACTCACTGTTTGTCAATTGCATTCTGTTTATTCAATTCTCAACGCACTGTTTGTCAATTGAGTTATTTTCGTTTCCTCCTAAGCGACCCAATCTATCAGTGCCCTTTCCATCTTATGGTCACTTCCTTTCAAATTAACTCATTTAATCCATTCATATACAACAATAGACGATCATATTTGACATCATTATATAATAAGTTTATAGCATCAAACAAGTTACATAAGCTTTGGGGTTACAAAACTATTTCAAAAGGGAAGTGAAATCCTGTGGAACTCAAGTGTGGACAAGGATAATAAAGCTATTAATTTTACCTTTGCAATGGCCACTTAAATACGTTTCAGCAACAACAACTTGTTTCCACTGGTTTTTTGTGAACCACACAAAATGCCCAGCCACCGAGATTTAAGATCTTCTCAATTCATCTCCAGAATCAAGCGATTCACATGTAAGGGAAGAGAGGGAGAGATGAAAGAGAGAGTGCCGTTGGTGGGATTGCCTCAGCAGCAGTTCACGATCTTCTATTCCCTTCTCCCTTTCTGTCATTCTGTTTTTCTTTTCTTGTTTAATTTTTATTTTTCTGTTTAATTTTTATTTTATTCACTTTTACCTACACTAACCCTTTTAACAGGTTACCAACATTCAATGGTGTGGATTTAACCCTCATCTCCACTTACTCATCCAATGGCTGATATTTTGGGCGCATGGATACACCACTCCCATTGTAGAATTTTCCCAAAAGGCAGAAGCCAACCATGCGCATTTGGGGACCAACAATCACTTTCTCTGAAATGGAATTACAATATTTGAGCAGCCAAAGTAGACTACATGCAGTTTAGTCAAGAAAATGCATATAATTCCATGTACCTGATTGAACTTGCAAAATGGGTTAAGGACTTGGACTTGGAATCTTGTGTATCCTCAATTCCTTTCTACTGCGGTGTCACCCATGTGTCGGCAGGGACATTTGTTTTGGTACTAGCACGTGATGGAGACTAGAAAGCCCCCTCACTCACGTTCTTTGTAATTTCAAGGTGGGCCAGCAGATATAGTAATGTCAATTGATGTAGTGCACTGCAAAGACAGAGAGAGAACCATGGCTAGAATTTGCAAAACTGACCAATTATTTCTCCAAAATGGACTTGCAATTTGAGCAGCCAACACAAATTAGAGAATCTGAAGATAAAAGTCAGTTTCAGGGTGTAAATACCAACCATTTGGCATTTGGCATTAGGTTTTTCTTTTTTCTTGTACATGTTATACACTTAGCACAAAAAATTAAAAATAAAAACGAAAAACACATTTAATTCCTTTGATGACAATGATAGTGATAGCGATGAGGAGTCAAGAAAATGCATTTAACTCCATCTACTGATTGATTGGACTTGCAAACTTGCCAAATGGGTTGAGGACTTGGACCGCTGATTTTGGGTTTGATTTTTACATGCGCTAGCAGCCTTATATAAGTGTATGACTTGGACTGTTCACTTATTGTGTGCTCATCTGCATCAAATTGAGAAAACTTGATTCGAAAAATGAAAATCTATCACATGATGAATATTTCCCAGTATTTGCTCCTTTTGTTGTGCTTATTGGGTGATATTGCACTTATTGCAAGCACTAGTGTGAAAGTGAAACCAATATGCATTGAGGAAGAAAGGAAAGCACTTGTGAGCTTCAAACAAGATCTTACTGATCCGTCCGGTAGGCTTTCTTCTTGGGTGGGTCATGATTGCTGCCGCTGGGAAGGGATTTCATGCAACAACCTCATTGGTCATGTTGACAAGATGGATCTCCGGAATACATGTTATGAAGAGTGGGACAAGTTGGCTTTTAACCAGTCTCGCTTGGGGGGTAAGATAAATCCTTCTTTGCTTAGCTTGAAACACTTGCATTACCTGGACTTAAGTTTGAATGATTTTGAAGGGATCCACATTCCTAAGTTCTTTGGGGAGCTTACAACTCTGAGGTATCTCAATATCTCTTTTGCAAAGTTTGCAGGAGAGATTCCCCCTTCTCTTGGTAACTTATCCAACTTGAATTATCTTGATGTCGGTGGTTATTATCCATTTGAAATAATGCATTCCAAAAACTTGGATTGGCTTTCTCATCTCTCTTCCCTAAAATACCTCAATCTCCAGGGAGTGGATCTTAATAGCAACACAAATTGGCTGTATGTTGTTAACATGCTTCCTTCCTTACAGGAGTTACACTTATCTAATTGCAAAATAGAAAGCCTTCCATTATCATTACACAAGATTAACTTCACCTCACTTTTGATCCTTGATCTTTCATTTAATCCTTTCAGTACTTCTTCAATTCCCAACTGGCTTTTCAATCTTACTAGCCTTAGAGAACTTTATCTAAGCCGCAATTCTTTCAATTGTCATATTCCAGATGAACTTGCAAACCTCAAATCTCTTGAATACCTAGATTTATCTTATTCGAGGCTCACAGGTGGTGGAGTTCACATTGGAAACTTGTGCAAGCTAAAGACATTACATCTTGCCCACAACAGTTTTGATGGTGGGTGGATTGAAGAGTTTTTGGGGAGTTTATCAAATTGTCCAAATAATACACTAGTATTAGAGTCACTAGATTTGTCTGGTTGTGGGCTGGAAGGCCAATTGCCGGCCTCCTTAGGAATTGTAAATAGTTTGCAACATTTGGACCTCTCTGCTAATTACATGAACGGGTCCATTCCACAAAGTCTAGGACAACTCTCTGAGCTAGTTGAACTCGATCTGTCTGAGAATCATTGGGATGGCATTCTAACGGAAGCCCATTTCACAAGTCTCATAAGATTGAAAGGTCTTTCAATAAGCACCTATAAAATAGGCAAGCCCATGTCCCTCGTTTTCAACGTGTCTTATGATTGGGTTCCTCCGTTCAAGCTCCTCAAAATTAACATTTTCAACTGCAAAGTAGGTCCTGGTTTTGGGGTATGGCTTCAATCTCAGACTGAACTAGTAGATGTCTCCCTGAGTTACACTGAAATATCAGATTCTATACCAGATGAATGGTGGTTGAAGCTATCTTCCCAACTCACATGGCTGGATTTATCTTACAACCAATTCCAAGGAAGGCTTTCATCGAAACAATTGACATTTCCAAAATTAGATTATATACGATTGGATCATAATCAATTTGAGGGCCCACTCCCACTATGGTCCCATAATGCCACCTTCCTTGATCTCAATAGCAATTTATTTTTCGGGCCAATTCCCTCGAGTGTTGACCAGCTAATGCCCAAATTAGAAGAATTTTATATTTCGGAGAATCATTTGAATGGTATAATTCCACCTTCCATTTGCAGAATACAAAACCTAACAGTCCTTTCCTTGAGCAACAATCATTTTTCTGGACAACTCCCTCACGCATGGACTTCGTATAGCCAGATAATCATTGTAGATGCTGCTTACAACAATCTCTCTGGTAATATTCCCACTTCAATGGGTCTATTAACTTCTCTTCAAATATTGAAGCTCAACAACAACAATTTTGGTGGTAAGATTCCCGATTCTTTGCACAATTGCTTTGTTTTGAAAAGTATCGATCTTGGAGGCAACAAATTATCTGGGAGCATACCTCCATGGATAGGAGGATCAAATGTATCCATGTTGTACATGCTACAATTGCGATCCAACTTTTTTACTGGACATATTCCCCGACAATTGTGCAATCTTGGCTACCTTCACATCCTCGACCTCAACCACAACAAATTTTCAGGTACTATTCCCAGCTGTTTCAATAATTTGACTTCTCTCGTCCGTGATGATCTCTATATATACGATCAATCCTATATGCAGCAAACCATGCTGACAGTAAAAGGACAAGAACTCGTGTATAACACCACTCTAATGCTGGTAAAGAGCATTGATCTTTCATCAAATTTTTTGGAAGGTGAAATCCCTCAAGAGATAGGTAGTCTCATTCTATTGGGTACCTTGAACTTGTCGAGGAATCATTTGATTGGTAAGATTCCCTCGGAGGTTGGAAATATGCATGGGCTCGAAACTCTTGATCTCTCAAACAACAGTCTTTCAGGACAGATTCCTCAAACCCTTGCATCTTTAACATTCTTGGCGCACTTGAATTTGGCTTATAACAACTTGGTGGGAAGAATTCCTTTGGGCAGCCAATTTCAAACATTCACTGATCTGTCCATTTATGTGGGCAATCCATTATTGTGTGGGGTTCCACTTCCAACAAAATGCCCCGGACCTACAGATGCAAAACCCAGTAATGAAGATGGAAGTGATAAGTTGTGGTTCTATGTCAGCATGGTACTTGGCTTTATCGTGGGCTTTTGGGGTGTTTGTGGTACATTACTCGTGAAGAAATCATGGAGGTATGCTTATTTTCAATTTTTTGACGACACCAAAGATAAGGTAACACTAGCAATTGCATTGAAAGTGGCTCGTTTGCAAAGAAAGTTTTCTCATGTTTAGTAGTATACTATAATTTGACCCAGTAAAACAATGTAATGCATTATATATATATAAATGTGTGAGTGTGTGTTTTTTTTTTCTTGGGAAAATTTAGATAAATACCAATTTGGTTTTTTTTTTTTGACAAAATAATAGTCCGTCAATCATTTTTGGACGGGGTACAAACCACTTGCAGCAGCCAACGTTTCCTGCGTATCCCCAACAACGCAATTATTTTTGACGACTCTCTTGCTTGGGGTCCAGTAGGAGCACGCAGGGACGTACCCACTAGCATGCTAATGGGTATAATGAGAAAGGATAAACAGAAGTCACCTTTTACTAGGCATTCTTTTGGCATACGTGAAAGGATAAACTTCCAGCGCCGCCTAATGCATACCAACAAAATGGAAACCCCACAATCTTACAATTAGATATCCAAGAATGTGTGGACGTACATATGTTTACCAATGCACGCGTGCAGTGTAGGCCATAATCTATCACATTTCTAAATTATAGCGTTTGATAAGTTAAATTAATACTCTAGCCTAGTTCATTTAAATAAATATTATTAACTATTCCCATTAGGATAAGGCTGCCCACCCAAATAAAATATTACTAATCCCACTAGGACTAGGTTGACCAAGCCAACTGTTGAGGCCCAAAAAATCAAGGATTGGGCCCAAATAAATCCCCGGCCCAATGCGACACCTTATTAAGAAGAAACCCGATGCGGAGCATGCGAAATTCTTCATGCACACTTGCACGAGCCACAAACAAGTGCCATGCCAAATAAATATGCAATTTATCATGCTAGGAATTAAAATGAGCCTATAAAAGGCATTGGCTCTACAAGCTCATGCTAATTATTTTGTCAAGCATTATGACTCTTTTCAAAGACGACAAAATTCAAGCACGCCAAGCGACATGCCATGCCAAGCAGGAAATCATTATTTCACACATAGCCACGCTACAAGCTTAAGTGGGCCCAAGCCACGCAAATGCTCGGGGCTTGCTTGAGTGGGTTGTGGTATGGATGGTAACGAGCTTTCATGGGACCCATTGATGAGCCAAGAAATGGAAGTTTTGGGCTGCTTGGGAGCCCCAAAACTCAAGCCTATTTCTTGAGCCCAAACACATGGGTTAGCATGAGAGAGGAGAGAATATGACCCAATGCCTTAGGAGAACATCCCATAGGCTGCTGTAGCATTTAGGAAAATCCATGACAGTTAGAATGCCCAAAAACGGATAAGCCACTTCCAGCAGCTGGACGAAAGCGTGCGGGCCGCTGGAAAGGAGAACACCGATAACCCCAACACTGTACATACAAGCCCAGCCCAGTACCTTATAAAATATCTAGCATTGTCA